AGGGCATGAGAACCACATGGGGCTTAATTTGTCTTCATTTCACGCTACCATTCCAAGTCCCTCGCATCCCATCCAAAAAGGATGCCTCGGAACTAAAAACAACGCTTCCTTCGGTAAACAGTGGTTGGGCCCATGTCAGACATGCCAACAATCACCTAAACCCGGTAAGTTTGATCTGCTGTTTTCAGACTTCCGTTGCATTACGCACCAAGTCTTTGCGTAATCGCTACAGCCACCAAGCTGGCTATGATACGGTAACCCCGGTGGTCAGTGGTTTGAAAACCTTGTGACTCTTCCATGGTTTGTGCGCATTCTTTTGCCAAGCTAAATAACAAGAGTGTTGAACTACATTTGCTTTCAGCCTCCTCAAAATGTGAAAGTTATAGTTTTACGCCTGGACTTAATGAGGCACATTATGACCACGTGAACAATCGTCACCACCATCCAACAATATTCTGTAATGATATTCACGGATTGATACACCGGATCGAGGCATTTGCCCAAGTTTCCCGGGTCGGTTTTGTTCTTTGGGATGGCCTTTTGAATGCTGCCAGCCCGCTCCAAGATTGCCTGTACGTCGGACGGGGAAGAAAGAGTAACTAGAAGTCCAAGGGTTCGCTTACTTCCCTCTTGGCGTAGCCATTCTGCGTGGAGTGATTGATCAGGCTTGCTGAGGATCGACTGTGCCAGCTTCGCTGGCGTGATTTTTCCGGAGAACGACCCCCAGATTATCAGCCTGTTTTCCCTTAGGCGTCTTTCCACTAGCGACGCTGTGGCGGTTTTTATAGCCGCGTCAGAAAGTTGTATGACTTTCTTCTCAGCCATGGGACCCGGTATGGACATCGCGAGGTATTGGTTCAGCGAGGAATGTTCCTTGTCGACTTTCGCCCAGGTCGCTGCATTCTTAGCGCCTGAGTCCTCCAGTGCCTTCGAAAGACGCTCTATTTTCGCGTCGAGTATCCCGATTAAAGCGGAACACTGGCAGTGGTCTTTCGGCATCTGCACTGGGGATTGGGTACCGTTTCGGGGGACTCTTCTCTTCGCTGCGGTATGCATTGCACCCTTGACATAGAGGCAGCTGGCACAGACAAACGGGTCAGGAGAGTTGGCTAGTCGGCTTATTTGGTCGTCCTGTAAACCCGTGCATTTGAAATGCCACCAGGCCTTGCAGGCGTGGCATTGCATACCGCGTTTGACGTTCGACGGGCAGCCATTCCGCCCACATCTATTGTGGTCTACCAATGGCTGCGGAGGGCGATCGGTATGGATTGACGTCATGTTTCGGACTAGATGTAAAATAGGTGTGCGCAAAATATGAAGGGTTATCACTCAAATGTTTTGTTAGACTAATAAAATTCAACAATTACTCGTGTGTACTCTGTGAATAGATTGAACAACGAAAAAAATTTTCACGAATTTGCACGAGGGAAAACCGAAACCGATTTCGAACGTACCGCGCGAGCAGGTGTTCGAATTCGTGGTTTGCAATTTGCGGCTTATCCGGATGAAGTCGGTGGGAGTCGGACAGGTGGACCCCTCGTCTGGATGTGGAGAACGACGGAATGGGTGACCGGTTGGGTGTACTGACATGGATGAGTAAGGAATGGAAAATCCAACAGTATGTCAGCGAAATGTGAATCCGGTAAGATACCTCGGACACCTGTGGGTGGAGTTGCTGCACTAATTCCGTTGACTGAGAAGGAAGTTAGCATGTCCAAGAGGCGTCTGTTTTGAACATCGATGGACAGGTTGTAGTGGGTCAGAAAGTCTGGACCGATGGTGGGTGTTTGGCCGTCGGCCAAAAAGAATGCACGTCGCCATCCGAGGTCAAGGTGAGGGAACGTTCGCCGTATGTTGTGATGCGGGTACCGTTTGCGGCTTGTAAGGAATAAGAAGCAGAATCGGGAAGTAGATTCTTATGCGGCAGCACACTAACCTCAGCTCCGGTATCTTCGAGGAAACGTAGACCACTTGAACGATAGGTGATGTGGAATAGGCGACTATTGCGTGGAGGGCCACAGACAGTCGTCCCCGTTACTGAATGGCCGGGGTTTTTAGAGGGGTGTTGGGACGCGGCTTGAAAGAACAAGGAGTTTGGCATTTGCGCGCTTGAAGACCGAAAGTTTGGTGATGCCAGCATCAAGAAGGACGGGCACAAAACAACGATGGAGATCGTGAGCGTGGCCAATGCTTGTTGATCACTAGCCGTTGCAGGCGACCAGTCAAAGTATCAAACTTAGCTTGTAGTTGCGATATGGAAGCAAGAATCGGAATGGGATCTGTGGTAGTGGATGTAGGGCGGGAGGCGACGTTTACGAGGTTACCAGGGGTAAGTTTCGCGGATCTTATCCGCCATTTTGGCTAACTGCTCTAAGCTGTGGTCATCAATGAAAGCGCTGATGACGCGGGACATGGAGGGTGGAAGTTTGTCGAGCCATAGTTAGGCCATGATTTCCACCGCTAGCTCATGACCGCAGAGGAGAGTGCGCATGTGGCGAAGTAGTTGTGATATTGATCTGTCACCAAGTTCGACAGTGGTGAATAAATCCCGTAGCATTTTGCTTTCGAACTTCCCTGTCCTACACATCACTGCCGCTCGAAGGGCATCATACGGATTTTCTTTGGGAATATCTTCCAATTTGTTGATACATCACAAGGAAGATGCTGGACAAAATAGAAATATCGAGTGGCTTGGGAAGTGATGCGTCGGGTAGTAAAAGCGGCCTGGTGAAACCATACCCTGAGATTGCGAGCACTATATTCTGGTAAACGAGTGCTGATCACATTCTCGATTATATCCAATGTATCATAGTGTACCTCCATAATGACGGGGCGAAGGAAAAAATTAGGACTTGAATGAAACCTTTTTGAAAAAAATATCTGGGAAGATTCGGGCTAACCAAGTTTGTAGTGGTCTGGCTACCCAGTGAGTTACTTTACCAGGAGTGTGCGGCAGAGTAGAATAACGCTGGATTGGGTATACAATAATAAAGAGGTCAGATGGAACGGACACACCAATAACTGTTCTATTTAAAATAGTTCGTTGCTGGCTCAGGTCAGCGAATAAACAATAATTCAGTCACGGTTGTCCACAGATCTTCTTCTGAACAGTTCCCACATATGATAGATTCCTGGCAAACAGGTTTATCACCGTTGAACCAGCAAACACACGGCGGGGACATGGCAAGAAAATTTTCGAGCTCAGAACACACACATTCATTAGGCAAGATTTTTTCTCGTTTCGAGTAGTAGGTGCGTGGAATGACCTTCCTCCGATGTTTGTCCGCACTCCTTCTAGAACCCAGTTCAAAGCACTATTAGACACTTATTTATGCGAATCCTCGCGCTGGCAAGCACACTGCCCCGCGCTGAGAACATAAATAGCAGTGCTACACTCTTTTTTCACTTGTGCCTATCCGGTGAACGGCAGCCACTGACCGAAAAGAACAAAACCGACTCGGGAAACTTGGGCAAAAGCCTCGATCCTGTGTACCAACCCGTGAATCCGTGAAAATAGTCTGAAATATTTTGATACCAGACCTGGCATATGGGACTCGTGAACGAGTGCTTCAAGCGTGAGCGGAATCAGAAGAGAGAATTGAAGCACGTGACCACGTTTGTATTGTGGGAAATTCTACAACTGCGCGTTTTTTTAGTTTTTCATATTGAAACAAAAAACTGTTATGCAACTGTCAAAATAAGTAGTGTTATAACGGAAGAAACATAAAGATACAAAACACCAGAACAGTTGTTTCTTCTATTAACGGGTGTACACTCCAGATCTGTTTGCACAAACGAGGACCATTGTCCTGCGTCGATGGGTTGTCGGCTTTGGGGTCCTATATACACAAATCAAATCCGTTGAACTTATTGAATGTTGTTTTACTAAGCCATCGGCCCATCCACACTTACAAAAGACCGCTGTTTTGAGCCCATTGACACGTGCTGTCGCGCGCCCGCAAGGTGATATGGTTATTCGCTCAAGAAAGAAGAAAGAGGAATGCTCAAAAGTTGAACTCAAGAAGGATATTGGTATACTGAAGGGTGTTAGCCTTGTTGTCGGTATAATTGTTGGATCAGGCATTTTCTTATCACCTGTTGGTGTTTTACGCCACACTAATTCGATTGGACTGTCCTTTGTAATGTGGGTTGTGGCCGGATTATTCAGTGCGCTAGGAGCTATGGTGTATGCAGAACTCGGTGTCACGATACCGAGATCTGGAGGTGAGTACATTTATGTACTCGAAACTTTCGGTCCATTCTTGGCCTTCATGGTTCTGTGGATTACATTTTTCGTGATTGGCACAGTCACTTGCGCCGTAAACTCGCTGGTGCTGGCAAATTATGTTTTACGGCCATTTTTTTCTACGTGCGATTTGCCTGCATCCGCAGTGCACTTGGTGGCACTTCTGGCTCTGCGTATGTCTCTAGCGTCGTTTTGCCTAACTCGTTCCCTTAGTAACCCTGTGTTTCATCAACTGTTACCGTGTTAGTTGGGCTACTAAACTATCTGTTGTGTTCACAGCAGGAAAAGTAATAGCTTTACTGCTCACTATCGGATTTGGGATTGCTTATCTTGCTCGAGGTGAGTTAACTCTGACTTTCTGGGATAGTCTCTCAATTACAGGCCAGGTTAGCAGTTTTAAAGATCCTTTCGAAGATAGTGCGACGTCTCCCGGAGCGTTAGCAAGTGCATTTTATCAAGGTTTCTGGTCCTTTGCTGGCTGGTAAGTGCAGTGTGTTCGACGCCAGCTCTGTTCTCACTGATAATTTCAAGCCGCTGGAGGTTCGGAGACTCGAACTCACTGTTTTCTATACTCTCATGTGTTTTCTCATAATCTAGTTACAGCTTGGGATGCTCGCGTTTACCCTGCTCCCAAAAACTAATGCGACTTTTGCCAGCTGATTCACAGACAGTTTATGTATGTCGTTCATCCACTACATTCCTTATCCATGGCTGTCTGCAAGCAGACACTCCTACCTTCTCATATTCCTTTCTAGTCCATCCCACCACGTCTTATTTCATGTCTAAGCAAGTTCGTAACATTTCAGTTACTTTCAATACATCTTACCTTTGTTTGCTTTTATCTTGTCCCAGGCTTTTGCACATGAGTTTGCTGTTCGTCGTATTCACTTAATGGCCATTAATGTTGCCTGGAATGTCTACAAGATATATTTCACTTCTGGTTAATCTCTTCTCAATAAGTGTTGCTCGTGAATCCCAGTATCACGAGTGGTTTATGAACTTATAATATCCGGCCTAAAGGTGCCACTTGATGTGGTGGTCGGGCTTGAGTGTTGCAATGATCCCGCAGACTACACTGGCTGGAACTTTGTTCCACGAAGTGTAACAATGCCACAAAGGCCAAAGGGAGCAATCAGACCGAAAGCAGCGAAATTCCGTGCCACAACTAATCGTGCTACGAGGCGGTCTAGGGTAAAGTTGTACTGTCCTCTGCGAAAGGAGTGCGAAGACAGTAAGGTGTTTCCCCCAGGCGACCAGCATGGAGCAGCGATGCTGCCTTCCGCTGAGGAAGGACAAGTTAGAAAAGGTCGGCTCTAAAAACCGCACACTCTGATCACCCAACGGTTTACCGTGACCGCCGGCGCATTATCCAATACGGTCGAAATACTCTTAAAACCAAAGAGCCCGGTGCTGCTCAAAAGGCACCTGCTGTGCGCAGCCGCATCAGGACCGAGACGGTAATGCCGTATTCTCTGCGCCCTCGGATTATGCCAACCCCCTGCAACCGAGTAGGGCAGACTATTGAGTCATCGGCTCACAAGAAGAAAGCCTTAGTGTCCGCTGCCTTGCGGGTCCGACTCTTGAACCAGGCTAGGAGCAGGGTCGGCGAACAAAACGTTGCATTCTCCCGCTGCGTTCTGGGTCCGACTTTCGATTAAAAGTCAACCTAACTCCCTTCTTCAGCCTGGGCAACTGGTAAGTATCATTTGCCAGCGCAGTTCCACTTTCACCGATGTACCTCCCCAACCCATTCCCACCACAAGGCAAACGTCGCTGGTTTATCTGACTGTCTGACCGCTCCCTATGAACAGTGAACAAACCAACACCTTTCTTAATCCACGATCTCCTTTCTATCTAGGGGCTTTTTACGTCCGTACTCTTTGTCAATTTGAAAAGCAGGCACTGGATGTTGAAACCTTGTACCTCCTTAAAATTGATGTATGCTGTCTCCGAAACACGCATACAAGACGTAAGCGTGGTTGTGCATCTCAGAACTCCAAGGATGAACTCAGCTGTTTCACTTCAGCTGTTTCACATTTCTCCCTCCGTGTATCCGGTGACCCAGAAGCGATGGCTCGTGGGATGTATGGTGTGGGAGTTGTGCTCAGCCTCAGAACTGAACGCGCTTTGGTGGATTGGATCCCAGTGAACAGTCGTCTTTGCTCTGTCCGTTTACCCAGCTCAATCAAGCTACTCGGCACAAAAACTGATGCCTGTTTGTAGTTCCGGGTTATGCCCCAACGGACTGCAGCTCTGATGCTGAAAAGAATACGTTCTATAGAGAGCTGTCCGGACTCATTCGTCGAGCAAAAAACACTGACATCGTGATCCTTGCAGGCGATATTAATGCACAAGTAAGTCGCCTGAGCTCCTAGGAATCATTTTTTTTGGGGAGGGGGTCGATTTTGAGTCAGTTCTTGCCGCAGAGACAACGGAGACCGACTCCTTCAGTTGTGTTCTGATCATGAACTGTTTCTGGCAAGTACGAACTTTCAACATAAACGTTTGCATCGAATAACCTGGTGGTCACCAACTGGGAATCAACCGGGGACCCATTTGGATAACATTGCCATCAACCACCGATGGAGAGACACAATTCAAGATCGCCCTTCCTTCTGAGGCACACTACCGGATTCTGATCACGCCATGGTGCGTGCACGTCTGACGGCCTGCTTCCCTTCAGGCCACCGCAAGTCGGCAAGAGGCATCTTAATCCACTATCTTCGAAGAACTACCATTGATCAAAAGCATAGATCTGAGGTGGCCCAACAGCTCCCTACGGTAAACCAATACCGCGGTGGTAATGAGCAGATGGATAAAGCGTGACAAAAGTGAAAAGAGCTATTTAGCGAAGTTCAGTACTGTCTGTCCGACTTCTCCAATTCGACCACAAGACCAATGGATGTCGAGGTCGTTATCCATGATTGATGCCAGGAAATCGATACTTGCAGACAACGAGTATGACGACACACGCAAATCCCTCCAACGCCAAACAGCAAAGAACCTAAGTGGAGGCCGAGAGCTCTAGTGGACATCGAAAGCTCTTGAGATGGAGAAGGCTTTTGCTTCGGGAAACAGCCGTACCCTATATCAACTGATACGATCTAGTGACCTCAGGGTGCAACGGTCAGTGGAACAATAAGTGAAAAAGATAGCTCATTAATTCACTCGCAAAAATGTCGACTGGAAACATGGGCCGAACACTTGGAAGAATTGTTAAGCTGGCCTGCTTCAACCCAGCTCGCGGAGGTAATGCATACTAGCGAATGGGATTATCGTCCGTTGGAAGGATTAATAAAGTACAAAATATGAGTACTAAAACGTCACAAGACACTAGAACTGGACGGTCTCCATGCATACCAATTCAAAGAAGGCGGAGAATCCCCGACGATTAATCTAACAAAACAAGCTGGTGCGATATGGAGTGAAGCGGAAGTGCTTGCAGAATGGGGCATGTCGACAGTTGTCCCTGTCTTTAAAAAGGGTACGCGAACGCTGTGTGAAATCCACCGTGGCAACAGCCTGATAGCTGTGGTATCGCAGATGCTCTCTGGTTTTATCCTTCGAATTTTGACAACACGGGGAGAAACAGATCTGTGAAAACCAAGGTGGGTTCCGTCCTGCAAGATGACGCATCGATCACATCTTTACCCACCGACAGGTCCTGGAACAGCGACACTGCTTTCAGCGACCAACAATGGTTGTGTTTCTTGATTTGAAGGCTAATTTTGACTCTATGGACCGTCGGGCACAATGACAGTGTCTGCGGAGCAAAGGCGTTCCCCATAAATTCTTGACCCTACTTGAGGTGCTGTACGCCAACTCCCGCGGCCGTGTGCAGGTCTACGGGAATCTCTCGCCTGAATTACCACATTAAGTGCTGTCAGACAGGGCTGTCCTCTTTTACCTTTCCTCTTCAACTTCGTCATTGATACGAGCATGGAAGACTCAATACCAGCCTCTAATGCCTGTGGGGTCGAACTACTCCCGGGGCGTCGTTTCACAGACATCGAGTACGTAGACGACACTGCTCTTCTCGGGTATGACCCAATGTTAATGCAGAAAATAATAAATAGTCTAAATAATTTTGCCTCACGGTTTGGAATGCGCTCCACACCGGTAAAGTGTAATGTTCTGCTGAAAGTCTGGGTGGAATCGGAACTTAACATCATGCTTGCGGATGGGCCTGTTGAGATAGTAGAAAAATTTGTTTACCTGGGCAGCTGTATCAGTCCCAATGGTCTCGCAAAAGTTAATATTTTCATTTGGATCGGGAAAGCCAGAGCAGCTTCTGTGGACCTGCGTCACCTGTGGCCTAGGCGTGACATCAGTTTGTCGTCGGGTTTACAATACAGCGGTGCCCTCTATATTACTGTATGGATCTGAAACCTAGCCGCTGTGTGCTGAGGAAATCAAAAGACTTTTAGTGTTCGACCATCGATATCTTCGGAGCATTGCGTGAGTCTGGCGGGAAAACAGGATCAATGGCGCTCGTGCATCCAAGCTACTGCCTTCCCACATCATGGAAGATGCTGACACCAGACGGCTAACCAAAGAAAGATTCGTTCAGCTGTAACACCCTTTCTGTGCCTAGCTGCCATGCTACCCGAAGGAAGCGCCAGAGCTGGGATACTGCCAGTTTGCCCAAGGCTAGACAGAGGAAGTCGAGGGGCAGAGGTCCAGTTCGAACCACGGAACTTCCGGTAGGTGAACTCGCGCTCCAACCACAGCTGTCTCATCAAGAGGTAACGTAGACTGGATGAGGGGGTGTTTTAAGCGCTACAGTTTTTTGATGCATGTTACTGTTCCAGAGCCATCACTGGCTTCGCATTTCATGTCGCTCTCTCGCGGTTTTTATGACGTTGCTTATTTCGGTCAGTACATTCGCAAACAAATCGGTCATTGTAGCGTCTAATGCATCATTACAGCCTCGATTGTGAGCTTCTTGTGGATTTTAAAGGCACAAACCACATCCATGTAGGATTACTATTTCACCTTTTTTCTCACTGGTTCTGTTCTGTGCGCAGGAACTACTTGAACTTTCTAACGGGAGAAATGAAAAATCCTGCACGGTAAGCTTGGAAGTTTATTGAGTTGACTTAACCTTTGTATGAGATAAATCAACTTCGTTTACGCACGCAGCAGCGTTATTGATAATTTCAACTGTAATCACCAGCTAAGACTTTTGTCAACGAGTTTTCTCCTACTAACCCAGAATTTCTAGACCATGGCATGAACTCTGAAAGTTTGCGTGGTCTAGGGTGTAAGCTCAATCGATCAGTGTTCACTCAGTACTGTATATTGCGCTGACTCCGTGACATATTGAAAGCCCACGTTGTAGCATTCCCCGTCCATTACCAGCTGTTTGTGGAAAAAGTGATGCACTTTGGCTCAGCATTAGATGGAAATCCCATAGCGGACTTCGCCGCAGTTGTCGATCCTCTATGACAAGTTTATCTGGGGCTCCTCTGGTTGGTGTAGATTTTGGACCCTTGACCACTGTGTGAGGTCCAACACAAACTTGGTTCTCTCTACAACTCTGGTCCAATCTGCAGTAACAAACGCTGGGTTCGATTGATCAGCGATTTTAACGACATCGGGAAAATATCTTGGCATTTAACTGTCTATGTTTGTTGTTTTTTCCCTCGGCCTACTGAGCTAAAAAGAGCGGATAAAGTGTTGTTATTAACGCGGTGAAGGTTTCAAAAGTGAACAACTGTAAATAGTAGTAACATAAGAGCATATCACAGTGGTGAAAACTCCAGTACATACTCTGGGGATTACCTGGCGCGTAACAGTTGTGAGTGATTTTATACTTGAGGGGCACTAAGCGTTCAGTGTTACTAACTTGTATAGAGCAATTCCAGGCTCATTATATTATGATGATCGGCCTTTCACTTCGAATCAGCTGGGTGTAATGGCAAACTACTTACTTATATGAGTATTTTATTAGTTTGTCAATAATTTTTCTTGGATTACGTAGCACTGCTGCGTGCTTGGTACTGTTTGTGGCAGCTTGGATACGGGCCGAATTCCGGACTGTTGCAGCACTTGTACTGTTTTTTTTACAAACGGATATGTCTTTGAAACTGAACTTCTATGGGTTCCAGGGTAAAAGAAGGAAAACGCCAGCTTAAAGTTTTCCAGTGGAGCGAGCTATTAAATTCTAGTTAAAATACCCTAAGATACACTGCTTGAGTACTTCCGCTACCAAACAGCAAGATATCAAAGGTATCTCTGGAGTGATTGCAACTCTATTTTGACAACTTGGGATATGGCAGATACATCTATCAACACATTACGGGAGACACCAGGAGACAAAGGGAAGCCCGTAATCCATGATTAAGATTAATGCATACAAAATTCGACTGGATGACTTGTAAACACCACATGGGACAAAATGAGAGGAAAATCACATGTCGTTATGCATAACTTGCTAGTAAAGAGCACAATCAATTATCTTTGGCTTCTGTGCATGGAGATCACGAATGACATCAGTTCATTTGGCACTATTTATGAATATTCGCTCAAGCAAAGACAAGGAATAAATTCGGCATTATGTACCCCACGTAAATGCGAAGAACAGGTATGTTGTTTCTGCTCCAGTTTATCGACCGGTGTGATCAAACGAAATCCAGGAATTTCACACTGGAAACCGGACATCCCGAGGAAGGAGCTAGTAGTGGAACATTTAGGACCCAATTCAGTTATCAAGGAAAACAATTCCAGCGACCGATCGGGAGGGACCATCACAACGCACCAGATATGTAAAATGGACGAGCAAGCCTGCGCTAAAGACGAAAGAGAACTGCTATTCCACCCAAGAGATTTTTGAGTCACAACCCACCGCAGTTTTCGGAAAACTGATATGAACAAAGGAAGTAAATAAAGGTTTCAGTGAATCAATCAAATACACACATAGTCTGGAGACCTCGAACAGAAACTGCAATACTGTTCAGTAACTGACTAATATAACTATTTTGATTATTTTGTTGTGACGCTGCGTTTTCCCAACATAGTCCATCAATAAGAAATTTGATCTCCAGTAGGACATACGAAATAAATAATAACTAAAACTCAAAACTGAGGGTGAAGAATATAGCCTCCTAAGTCAAGAATATGAACAAGGGTAGCTCTATCGTCAGTTCTCTAAGGACTTTGCACAAAACAGAAGTTTGCTGACCTCGATTCCTACAGCTCTGTGTTTTCCGCATGCCGATTCATTACCAGTAGGTGAAGAATAAGATGTAATAGCCTATAGGAGAACTCACAATCAATGGTCTAATTCCTACAAAGGGCGAACGGGCTATCCGACCCGATCTTCAGAATCACAGAGATTCGTATATGCCAATCCTGAAGCGCATACATTTTTTGATGTGCAGTTGTCGACCCAACCCCTTAGGGTTCGACCCGGGACCTACTCAAAAAGGTTAGGGAGGAGCGGATTTATGATATCGCCAATTCCAGTTTTCGTTTGTTTCGTTCACTATACACGCACAACTCCTCCCCCCCCCACGAGTAAGTCCAGACTTTGTGGATTCGCCGTAGTTCCGTTGCTGGTTTGATAACTTAACCACTCTGTCTGCCGTAGAATCGATCAATGTGCACTTCACGGTTTCGATAGTATATGACCAATCACTTGTCTGACGTTTGGTACGTGTATTCCCTGTCGTGGTGTTGACGTTCTAAAATATTCCGTGCTCGGAAATGGGGATGCAAGAAACGATATTCTTGTGAGCAACTTTTCTTTTGTCGGACAATAACCATATATATACAGCTGTTTCCTATTGGGCACTGTGTCATTGGATCTTCATGTTCTCCCTCTGGGGCGAGGTGGCTCAGAGGTTAGAGTGCGAATTTACTGACCGGATGGTCTGTGGTTCGAATCCGACCTCTACCTGTCGACTTTTCCTGCTTAGGCTTAGGCAGCCTGACAGTATCGTAGTCCCCGTGCTTCCTTCCGGTCGCATGGCAGTTAGGCACTGAAAGGGTGTTACAGCTGAACTGTTGTTTATTGTATTGTTTGTTTTCTCTCTGGAATACGGGAACATTGCTGTGTGCTGTAGCGGACTCCGAGCATCAAATTAGTTTTTCCAGAAGATGCGGTATTCATTGATGCATCCACAGTTTGGGACTTTTAATTCGGTGCTCGATGACGATGAATTTTTCGCTTAACAGACACATTTTTGGAGCGAGCACACGGATGCTTTGCTTCCCTTGTAGACCAACCCGGTCAATGTTCTGGTGACATCAATTCCTTGTTTCAAAAGGCATTCGTCCGTTTCCACAGCACTCATGTTTTGAGTGCTCCGCATTCTCTAATAACGCGATGACTCTGGTCATCGCGTCATCGCACCATTACCAAAGGGGACTTGTTTGACTCTCCCCAAGATCTTTCAGCAATACATAAACTTGGCCGTGGCAGGATTTGAACTCCGGATGTCTGACTTACGAAGCAAGGCCTTGTTATCATTCTAGGGGTGCTTCAGACTACTGGCGGTTGTCTATAATGGGTGAATAAAAAACTTAAGCAGATGATTAGCCAACCGACAAAGGTATTTTATTTCAGTGACTCTGCTAAATTCTGTGAATTAAGTTTGTATAACCATAAGATCTAACAGGATTGTTTATTGTCTGTGCCCCCATGAACGAGGGAATTAACTGAAGACCTAAACCGATTTCTTGGTAAACGTTTCTGAGAATCGGGATGTAATCATCTTTTGCGAATAATGAAATAGGGTAGAAAGGTAGGTGAGTGGAATAAATTTTTGGGTTAAAGGTTTAGTCAGGTTGTATACTGTGATCAGACGAATTATGTGACCTTACTTGGATGTGAATAATTTCCGATAGAGCTACCTTATTATCCAAGCAACTCAGCCCTAAATAGGGTAGTAGTGTGGCACCAGTGATTGATTGTGCATCAAGGGTTTCCTCGCAATTTCACCAACTCGCTGTTTCCGTGTCACCAGTGACCTTGATGATTTTGTTCTCATACGCGTGCTCCTCGTTGGAGGAAAATTATTTCTAATGTCGTTATTATTAGAAGTTGAGACGCGCTACTTCTTTGTGAAGCTGGGTTTGGATTTGTTTGCTGCCCGATAGCTTTCGGCCAAAGGTGTTCCGAATTTGATTGTGAGGTATTTTCACTTGGGCGTATTAGAACTTCAGAAGCTCACTCATGACTGTATCAGTATGTTGGTTCATGGTGAATCTGACATGTATGCCTCGAAAAGGAATGCGCTTGCAGTAATCCTCACGTAGTTCCCACACAGACAAAATGACATTTGACCTACCGCAAATGCACTCAGTTGTGTTGTCCAGTTGGCACATGTGGTCTGATTATCTCTGCTGTGTTCTTTTTGTGTTTCAGCAACCTACCGATTGTCATCATCATATCACTCATAGTCGTAACAGTAATCTATCTCTTGGCAAATGTGGCGTATCTGGCGGTTTTGTCACCTTATGAAGTCCTTAACTCCGATGCTGTGGCAGTGGTAAGTAATGGTTAGGTGTGAGACGAAATTAATGGATTGAAAGTGTTTTCACACACCTAATGAAAACGTCAATAACCTTGTGAGCTGTGCATTTTGCCAAGAGAATATGCACTTCAAGATTGTTCCACTAGTTTTGTTTTTTAACCCTTTATAGATCATCCGCAATGCTCGTAGAGTGATACCATTATCCTTGTATTCGATTAGCCCGTTGAACACTGGAAACTGCAAACTGACGAGTTATTTGATTACCCGAAACGAGCGTTTTTCGTGAGCAGACAGATACAGTGTAATACATCGGGTCTGTCGTGCAACGATTCGTTTGAGCATTGGAAGCGCTCAGAATCTAACAAAGGTTCAGAGCACAGCTCTCAGTTTAAGTTTAAGTAAAGGCAAATCGTCTCTTCAGCAGTTTCAGAAACATTTTGTGCTTGATGCTAGTTGTGGTACAGTACAGACTACTCATTTGGTCATATCGTTATGTATAAGGTTATTCTCCGTTCACCTAGAATGCACGGGTATGCACGGGTAGTTATCGTGCGATACAATAACAATAATATAATACTATAAATGTATAAAAAGTATATCGCTTTTTTGGAGATAATACTGACGAAGAAAATAGGGGAATTGGTGCACTCAATCCAGCAGCTGCTTCTGTTTACTTGAGTTTACTTGCCACATCCATTGCTTGGAGGAGCGTTACCATGGTATTTCAGCTTTACGCTTTATGGTGAATTTATCGTGATTCGACCACAAAAGTGTTTCGGATCGTTCAATCAGCAGAATAATTGAGAACGTTATCATGAAGCCATATGGGAATTTGTATACGACCAACGTCTCTAGCGCCTCAAGGCTTTGGTTCGGGGGTGTACTTCTGGCCTTCGTGCGGCCAAATGCAAACTGCAAGTAACAGGGAGGGTATGAGGAGCAGAATCGCCCGAATAAATGTTAGCTTTTGGTCAGTTCAACCACCCATTCCGTTATGTCCGGCGATTTTCAAGTTTGCTTTTCTAACCATTACATATCCAAGTGCAATCCACAAAGCACCAAGGCACCTCGGTCATCTGCAACCGTCATTCCAGTACTGATCAAGAATTCGTATTCTCTTCATTGCATGTACAACCCGCTTTTCACGGATAAACATTTTTCCTGGCGCTCTCACATGGGGACCCAGTCTCGTTTGTAGTGGATTTATTTTCCAGCGAAAAATTCACTGCGACCCGGCGGCGCTAACGCCGTCTCCACCTTAGCCCACGTGTAACAGCTGTTCTAACGTAGCTAATGCCATGACGCCACAATGAAGCGGGTGAAGGCTTTGTGACGAAGTGGACACATCCGAACCTTCAAAACGACAAATAAACTCGTCAAGTGACCAAACAACTGTATCCCAATGCACTTGTTGCAGCAACGCTGCATCTTCGACGTCAAAAACATGATACGTGCCACAGAGTGAGGAGGGGTACCCGTTGTAGGAAATTCGTCCACAGACGATCCATTTTACGTACTTTGGGTTATTTGACACTCCGTTTCCTCCTGTCCTCTGGTTTTTCAACATATGGGAACAGTTAAAGTAATAATCTATTTACGTTTCATCTCTGAATTCGGTCCTCCGGAAGATAGCACTTCCAAGCAGAATGGATTTTTGTCCCGCCCAGAGTGCCCTCTTGAGAAGAACCACTGTAGCGAATCTACTGATCGCTCACCTTTCTTCCTTATCTCATTCATTACCGTATCAGTCGAAATTTCACCCTTCAAGTATATTCTTTATATACTGAACATCTTAGAATCACAGCAACCGTTTCGTCTCTCGCACCCATGAGTGGTGTACATATCATAAATCCCTGAGGGGGTGCTGACATAAGACAGTATTGCAAGGTATTCGATTACAAACCAGACTGGTTGTTGTGGGAAATTAGTGTTGATCTCTAGGAAGGATGAAGCGGCTGTGCAATACTTCCCATATTTTTGTGGGGCGAAATCTTGAGGGAAATCTTAGTTTCACTCCACTTACTACAAATCATTTCTTGTCCGTTTGAGCTCCAGATAGCTCCAGGCGCTCACGTACTGACCAGAAGGTTCACGGCTCGAACTGAACCTCGGTATCTAGGCCTGGGCAATCTAGTAGTATCTCAACTCTTGAGTTTCTTCCGGATGGCATGGTAGATGAACATTGAAGCAGCGTTATAACCGAATGACTATAGTTTTAGTTTTTGTCTATCCAGTTGTGTTGCTGAGGCAAAATGAGAATGAATAATAAACCCCTTTTAGTTTTTTCACTCGAAATGGTCTGGAAATCGTATATTATAGAGAATCTAGTTTCTTAGACTTCTAATGACCTGCGGGTTCCTTTGTGTATATCGAGAAATCGCCACATTGCTGTTGGGAGGATTCCCCTTGAGGACGCGGAAAATGTAATATTTTAGGAGATCGTACATTCCATCAGAAGCTACTTTGTTGGGATTCCGCTAGTTTGCGACAGATAAGATCTTAATGGGAAAAATGCACTCCTTTGAAAGTTAAGTTGAGGTTAACGGGAGGCTCAATAGCTGAATATCTTTTTTAGGATGCTCTTCAACTGAATGACTACGCACAAGACCACTTCGTATTTCGGTACGGTGTACGAGATATCGCAATAAATATCCTGATGGAACACGGTTTGTGAAGTTGCTAGGACCCCTTTCGATAGCTCACAGCCGGTTCGGCCTTTCTTGAGGCACATTAAGTAGGCTTGATTCCTCAGTTTCCACCAACTTTATGTCCTAATATGCACTGTCCTAACGTGACTGGTAGGGCCTGTTCGGTGTGCCCACAACCTTACAGACATGTGACTGAGACCAAGTAGCGCGAACCGGTGGATCTGCGTAGTGTTCGTAAAACCCGTTCATTTTGGAGTTCCAGACGAAACGTTTTACCGACTTACTAAGTTCTGATAAGTACTACATAACGAGGTAGCTTGTTGTGGAAATGTATCCTCACATACCAAGATAGAAAAGGTCATTTACGAGAATTCGATCCATTCCGAGTTAGCATGAGTCCTCTTTCATCTTTGTTACCCCATCTCATTCAAAATGATACTGTGCACTCATTCTAGGTTAGGTTATCAGCGAATACAAATTGATTTTAGTAAAGGAGAATGTCCTCACTTAAGCTTTTCAATCTGACGTACGATCATTAAAACATAGTTGAGGACCAACCACCTGGAGAGGCAAAGCGAAAAGTTATTGGAACAGAGCATTTTTACTCTAGTCTGTTACGACTTATCCAAAATGTAAGACTGGTTGTTTGTTTACCTACACGTCTCGATTTTCTTGTACGGTAGGGGACATTTTATAGAATTGTTTTAATGACTGACAACTCCCACTGACCTCAGGACAGTCACTATTGTGTTCACATTCCGATGTTCTCTGAAACTCCTCTTTGTGTTTTAGACAATGGCTAATCGATGCATGGGCGTGATGGCTTGGATCATGCCCGTGTTTGTAGCTGCGTCCGTTTTTGGTAGTATCAACGGCGAGGTATTGTCAATGTCCAGGTATGTCGCGTTCACGCACACATGCTGCTACTTCTGGTGATCCGACGTATATTGTCCATTCAGTTCACTTGTGCGCTGCGTTTATCAAAGCAAGAGAGTTTCCGTTCCCAAAGCGAATTAGTTGGTTTTGGTGAACTGTCGGTTGGGTGATTCGAATTCGATGCAATTTTTCCTTCCTTACCACAGACTATTGGACTATAAGAGTCTTAGACTACCATTTTTTGTTGTTTATAATCTGTGGTTGGTGTAGGACAAAGGACATGCTTGGACCGTGCATCATCTGAATTTCAGCTTATCCGTGTGGGAATTTCAGGAATAACATGAAGCAAACGGCTTGAGGTACTAATGGATCCTTTCGGTGGCCGTTGTCGTTTCGTTCACCATATCCTGCAATAGAAGAACACGGTCACGGAGATTTTTTTTAAAAAGCCTGCAATAGAGAACACGGTCACGGAGATTTTTTTTTAAAAAGGCCGGGTAATATATCATCCCTGATTGGTTGGTCTGTTTTGAAGGCCTTACCTGTCTTATCCTGAAGGCGGTCGCAATTTTCCTCTCTGGCCTTCGTCACTATGTTTTGTGGTACATTATGGCTACAGGGTAACAAGTCTCCTACGATATACCATTCGGTAAAGTGAGACTCCACACAGATCGCCATTCGCCTTTCCCGAATCAGAGCCCCTTCAATGGGGCATTTTCTCATATGGATGTGTTTGTTTCAAATTCAGTCTAACCAGGAACAACTAATTCATTACCTTCGTTACTTCCATACCGCCGCTTTCCTTTCATTACAGGGTTTGCTTTGCTGGTGGAGAGAAGGGTCACACGCCCGCAATTCTTTCCATGGTTAGCGTGACCAACCTAACACCAATTCCTTCCATAGTTGCAATGGTGAGTTGGACAACAGATGAAGCATTCATTAGCATTCGTAGTACGGCGCTTCTGCTTGAGACAGTATGTAGACACCATTCACTGAACATATCCTCATTTAGTATTTATATGAAACCATCAAGCTCCACTAAGGGTGAACGCACGTTTTTTTGTATAGTAGTTTCCTTAATTCAGTCACCATTACCCGTATTACACGAGCCAACTAGCTCCCATACCGTTATCATTGGTTGAGCACTGTCCCAATGAAAAGGCCCATTATTTTTAAGCGTTGGTTGTACAAGTTTCCGCAAACTTCAGCAAGATAAGGCCACAATGCTAACCAACTATTGAACATTCTAGCACACTTGCCCAGAATTTGTATCAACGGCAGTATTTTTCCCTTTAGATCCATGTGATAGTCCCCATAGAACCACTCATCATGAGTTGATTCTCAACACTGGCCATTCGCCCTGAGTTGCGGATATCCAGAATTGCTTAAATATTCCTGGTACGCAACCTCTTCCGTGTGAACTTGACTGAGTTTGCCACTTGGTACAACATACGATTGGCCTGCTGCTGCAAAATCAGGTTTGAACAAAGTCCAGCATCAATTCAGTGTGCAAGCTAGTTCAACATTTGTCAGAAATGCACATAACATTTGCTGCTGTTATGCCCTCGTGGATATCAGGCAGACTATTGTGCCGAAAGTTACCTGGGTGGATAGTCGGCCTACTTGAGTGTTCTCGCCTTTCAGACTGTGAGCTTTATTGATATGGTACTCCTTGCATTTAGGGAGCACCTTTTTCGGGATACGAAAATTCTCTTCGAATGGGAGTGTTCTCTCACCGGAAGTGCGAATAAAAAGAACCACCTGGCAAAATCGCTACCTCCAGCTCCTAAACATTTTACAATCCTACTGCATTACCGGGTAGAACCAAGCACAAACATTTTGCTTGCAGATGAACCAATGGATGAGGTTGACATCTCACCTGGAGCCTAAAGATGAAAACACCCTCCTGATAGGGAGAGCGGGGTGGCTTTTACCAGTCTATGACATCTGTGACGTCGATGGAACTTGAAGTTGTCTGCCGCCAGTGGAGTGTAAAGCCTTATAGCGCACTCTGCATCATTACGCCGGTTAGGACTTTGGTCATAGTGAGCTCAAAAACTCAAAAATAACCTTCACCGTTGACTGGAAGTGCATCCAATTCGTTGATCATATCTTGCTGGAATACCAGATCAGTAGTGCAGAAGTACGTCGAACAACTTGTTTGGAAGAAAAAAATCGGTAGGTGCGTTGGCCCTATTCTATGTCAGTGGCTTGTTCGTTTGCATCGAGTATCAACAAACCGACGTACACAAAATGCTCATTTCCTCTCTGCTGCCTGCCGAGTAGTTCTACATGGGATCATGAAGTGACCACCAGAGCGTGAAGACTGCAAACAATAAGCTAGGTGGCATCAGTAGCTACATCGAGACAGAACATATCAATGCATGTTTAAGGACGCATTTAAGCTATTCTCTTTAAATGCATAGTTAATTTCTCACAATCCTCTGATGGCTAAATTTGTACCCCACTAGAAAGTGCTCTTGTGTATCTGTGAGTGGCCCATACCAACAAAGTGGTGAATCTGCCTACCGGCCACCAGTGTATGTCATCCAGACCAGCGCCACCTCCTGATTTAAATACCTTCTGCATAAGCTCGAATGGAAGTCACTGAAAAAGAAAATTCACCAAGATATATTTTAAATGATGAAGAAAAAGTACTGATTTAGAACCAACTAAAGATAGAGTTTTCAGGTACTTTCTTTGTCCTACATGCTAGCTTCATTACTTTCAGTCTATTGTGCAGCTGCGAAAAGTTTCCTAGGAGTGACACTACTTGTGATTTTCGAGATCGGTTATTTGCTCGGCCAATTCACGTCTGTTGACGAACTGCCGGATGATGTGGTGGCATCCGTCGTTTAACGTGACGGTACATCAGTAAGTCTACAGAAGTAATGTATGGCTTGCTCAATCAGTGGATCCTCTTTAGTCTTGTGGAACTGGTTGTCCCCCTAGGAAGTGACTGCAGTGTAGCTGTTTGCTTTGGAGGAATTTTACTTAATGGACGTAGTACACCAAAGTGTCAGCTTTCCCCTCTTACATTGTTCTGTCGAATCACGTCATTCAGGGAGACCTCATCGACGAAGCAGATATATTGAAATACCGTTGCATTACCTGGTCCTGGAGATTAGCTGTCCACCGGGATGGGGTTGGTTAGTTTTTTGAATTGGATACACGGACGCAAAGCAACAGAGCATTTCCAACGTTCGAGGATACGACTGTGAGTAATATCTGCGTGGGATGTCCCAACAACAAATGGGTATTTAAAAAAACGAATACACCGCTTCCCTTCTATACCGAATTAGTTGTATTTTGGTTATACTCGAATCTTTTGAGCAGCTATTCCGAGTGTACATGGGAGTATTTTCTTTTTTCTGAGTTACGGTTATTCACTGCTGCTGCGTACTTTGGGAACTTACAATCAGTCTCCGTATTTTGCATCATCTCGGTAAACTAGGGTAGGACAGAAGGAACAAAATAATTCATATTTTGGTAAAACACGATTAATTAATAACAAGACAATTAATAAAAACGTGATTATTCAGGACTCGATAAGTGCCCAGTAGTCACGCGATACTTCATCCTTCGTTTCGGCTTCATTCGTACTGCAGCTATCAAACGAATAACTGTGCGAATATTACCTGTCGTTCGCTTAGGTGCTTACAACACCAACGATTTAGCGTGAAAGTCGATGAGTAAATATGTTTGAATGACATAGAACATTTTCTCTGTGGTCTCTTGTCTTCGGTCCTGGTGAGTTTGTTTCCTCAAGCTGGGGTCGGCGCAAAAAATTCTGTACTTCTAAGATTGTCTCTAAAGTGAAATGTTTCCGTTTGGAAAGCAGCCTTTCAGCAAATGTTGAAAAGGATGATGAGGATGAATAGGGAATGGTGATAAAGAAAAAAGGATGGCGTAGGGTTATGGCCACTACTGTGCACTTCTCTCAAAGTGTCATACTAGGGGAGGAGGGAAGTACATATCTATATCTGCTATATTTTCTACTGTACGAAAACAGGCAAAGCAATTCTTAACTAGTTCATAATCTAGCCTATAGTGTCGTGCAGTCGCATTTGGTTCTTATGGGTCTCACATGTTGACTAACTAAAGACCCCATGGCACTCTAAGGAAAGCAGCCACCCAGAAAGGTTCATAGTTCACTTGAGTAGAACTCCTCGAGCATAGGTGAAATTAACTTCAGAAGAGAAGGGTTTGTTCTTTTAGCTGCCGAAAAAGAGGGACGTCGTTAACAGTAACATGGCGAAAATTATGAACGCTGCATAGCTACGTTCGTTCATGAAAACCTCGAAGTAGCACGCATACATTTGATGTCAAACTGTGTTTACTTTTTCATCTGTGGGTACTGTAAATTCTGCATAGAGAGAACTAAATGGGGGTGCATAAGGAAGAACACATTCCTAAACACAGCTTGAACTAATACACTCCCTGTCATTACATGTTTAGCTGTAATCCTGTTTCTGTTGCCGGTCACCTAGCCAACTATGGCCATCAGGGTGACATCCTCCCGTCCCTCGAAATCATTACAACGGCTACATTACTCTGCTTGTTGACCAATGTGCAATTAGATGAAGCTTTTCTTTATAAACGGACCTGAACCCGACTTTACTTTTAGCCTGGCCCATATATCTCAGTTGTACACTGCGCACTTTCCAGCTAGAATTCGAATTCCGAATCGCTACATTCGTTTATTCATTACTTATTTGACTTTCGTCATGGGGTACAAGAACATTCGAGGTGATATCCTCCCACACACTGTATTTCCGTTCTTTCGCTCTGCGCCGTCAGTGGTTTGCTGTTCATGAGATGACTTCTATCGTAAAGCGGGCCAAAGAATTTGCCGATTTATGGGGAGTGCACTCATTTAGCGTGAGACAAAGTTCCTTTCATTCTTTTAGTTTTATAATTACTCTAACCATGCGATGTCTACCTATCCCTCGGCAGATCCTTGTCTCCATTCTCTTCCAATTCTTTCCCGATTTGTACGTCCTGATCGAATACACCGGTCTGGCTTTTACGATTGTCTCCGGTGTTGCGGTTTGCAGTTTGATTCACATCAAACGGACACACCCCGAATTGAACAGGACCGCATTTAAGGTAAATTCACTTTCACTCTATTTAAATATGGAAAGGGTATGACAGGTATGGCTGTTTTAGTGTGCGTGTGGATCCTATATGACGTTTATACCAGACTTACTCGCCGCTGGAACATGGCGAATCGGGTTATGCTGGATAAGTTCTAATCGCATTCGTCTCATTTCTTGGTTTCTAACATGGAAAGTTGAATCAAGTAACCTGGGTGTGTTCGGTGGTCTTCAATGACCTTCCGTAACTTGTCTTCTATGATTCTAACCAATAACCCTGGAAGTTCCTTGGAGCTTTTTAGGATACCCAACAATGTGCTGGAGCCACGGTGCCAGACAATACCATGCTTGCGGCGAGTCATAACCATCATCGTGCTTATGGACAACACAACGTCTGTGCTTCTTTGGCTAACACTTTCAGTGCTCTTTGGAGAGCTTACAAAGCTTGACAGGAGATAAGCTGGATTGTTTTAGCCATCACGAACGTTATTCCGGATTGACATTTTTTCTTCAGATGCCAGCATCAAGTTCCCACTCTTCTTTTTTATTCAAATATACCTAGATGGTTTGAGCAATCTATCACCTTCATGATCATATCGCTGCAAAGTTCTCCAACTTTGCTTATGACCATGTACGTCTTTTCAGATACTGCTGCCAAAAAGACCACATTTTCATTATGTGACCTTTGTATACATCGTTTCCGACCAACCTCGAGGCAGGTGCTTCTACGTTGAAGCGTTTCAACTGGAGCTCATTGCCATGGCATAACTTTCCCCTGTCTAGTTGAAAAGTTTCCCACCATTAATTTAAGCCGAGGCTAGGGGTTCAGTGGACAAACTAACAGCAAATACAGAGGTGCGCATGTCGTTGTTAAAATAGTGAAAAACAGTCCAATCCAAGACAGTCATTTATGCTACCCCATAATTTGTATGCATGGTAATTTTATAGTAGGTCGGTAAAATAACGGAGAGAGGTTGAGAAGGAAGCCTTGTAAAACACCCGTGTGTTTTGATGGACGTTATATCTTTCCGTTACTCTACATGTACATAGGGTTTGTTTAGCAAACTTACCCTTTTCCATTCTAATTGAACGTTGTTCTTTGCGCCCACCAGCATAGAAGTGTTGCAATAGACCATAATTAATACCACCAATTGCATTTATGTGATCCAGCATTAGTTGGTGTGCAGATTTGGCGTTTCCGTTAGGAGCCGAAAAAAAATGAGTGCATAAGCTGTGCGAGGGTGTCTGGGGTAGAATGGGATTGTCAGTGTAAACTGGTAACTATCCTCAGCTTCCCGATTGTTATGGGCGCTCAGTATGGTTACACTTTGAAACAAATTCGAATGTACGGATTACGGACAGTGAGCGTTCAATACAGAACACAAAATAGTTAGTCAGCTACTCCTAATGGTCTAGTAAGGTCAGTACGCCAAAACGATTTTAGACATATCTATTTAGGGTGGATTTGGGACAAAGATTTGGAATGCTTTTATGTGACGAAAATATCGGTGCTCACAAAAGGTTTATCAAGTTGGGCGTTGGGTCTTGCGGGAGCTTGAGGAAGCAGGTGAGCAAATTTGGTGAATGAAAACTCTGTGTACTGGATCACTGTGTACGTTGGCAATTGAAATGAATGGAATTACCCTAGGAATTGAATACTCAATGTTTGCAGAAAATTTCAAACAGTACTGTCTCGGTTGCGTCCACCATTTGCCAAAAATGCACATGACAAATTTACTATTGGCTATTAAATGAGGGTGTTTCACGTCCCAATCGGATATGAACACTTATATGGTCGGTAACTTTAATTATCCTACTGAAACTTTTCTGCGGACTCGCCTTGTCGGACAAATTGTACTTTTGATCTACTAAACTATCATTGACTTGTTAACTCAAACTTATCCGCCATAGCCATAAATCGACTGCTTCATCTCAGACTGATACCGTTCTTTCGTCGCGCCACCTAACTACGCTTTAATAATTCATGTCGCATTACATCCATAAGTACCAAACTGTTAAGATGTACAGCCTAAAAGCCTTATTGCCTTATTGTGCATACATCTGTTTGAACTGTTGTTCTAGTAAGCCGATGGTTGCAACTGCTTCAGTGAACATGTTTCCACGGAAAGCAGGGAAGCCGGAGGCCTCGGGAAGGCAATGGGTAGGCGCTCAAGCTTCGGCCTTGCAATTCAGCAGCTGAGATAACCATGACAACAAGACACGGAAATTTAGCTAGCATCGTTATTCGGGGGAAGAATGATGTTTGGCACATCAGTTTGTTTTCAGATTACACCCGCTACATAGTGACGTCAAGTGAAAAGTGCAACTAGACTATATGGAGAGAAATTGCGCACTAACTCGGATTGGATAGATCGTCGAAAGCCTATGTGGACATGTTTCGGTGCCTTCCATCACCTGTGACTCCCATTTAGAAGTCGTCCGACGAGATCTCTGAGGTCTTTCAATCAAGTAGTCAATTGAAATACCTGGCCACTTTAATGTCCAAATTCCTGAGGAAGCATGCAGCCCACGACATCAAATAAACTACGGGTTTTAATTTTGTCCATTGCGTGCGACCACAGACTATTTTGCTTGCGCAACAGTACGATAATGGGGAAAATATTTGAAGCAGAGACGTGTTATTTCGTAACACGCTTGGCGTCAAACCGGTGGTGCTGCTTGTTAACGAATATTAGCTTCCCTTATTTACAGCATCTCTTTTCTGGTTTATGATTTGGCGTCACGTTGACGTGGATTAAGTATCAATTCAGAGAGATAATTGATGTCTCCGTGGCAAAAGTTTAGGATAATATTGTAAATAAAGACATCAAGACCAATTTCGAAGGTTTTCCCAGATAGCAGTAAACACTCGGAGTATTATTTATATGACCTACAAATTTTACTCACTTAGTGAACAAAAGCCATTCAACCAAGGTGGAGAACACCGTAATATTCTAGTGTCTGTTATTCGACTATGTAGGACATGCACGGTATTCAAAAAATAAAACTCGATGGGAAAGTGTGAAAAGTTTGAGTGTCGTACGTTATCGTTAGTAGATATTGCTGTCTGCTACAGCTTGCGGTGGTTTATTACAATGCTCCTTCCGAAAACAGTTTTTTTCTCGCATGTTCGTTGTGTCCGATCGATGGGTGACGGAACAGCAAGTGACGTGCATGGTCCAAACGTCGGTCAATCCAAAGTCTGTGGATTTCTTGTAATTTATCCAACTGTATTCGTCGTTCTTCCTGCATCATGTTGTCCACATCATCCATAGTTATCCCCTAATATCCGGTCCCCCTATCCCTTCTTCAGCTACCCATGTTCCTTCCGGTTTTATACCTGATTGTCAACTTCAGTATTGGAATATTCTCCATTTACAATGGCCCTTTGAACGCACTGATTGGCCTCGGAATAATGGCCATTGGTATACCTCTCTACATAATTGGCATCGCGTGGAAAAACAAGCCCCGTATCATTGAATCCGCATTGTGTAAGTCGATTTCGAGCTAATTTTCCTCTGGTTTCGCTCACCTGGTTCTGCCACTGCAACTCCATACGGTGATTGGTATCATCGCTCACACTCACCTTCGCGGTGCTAGGCTGCCATTGGGATTAACTTTGTGATACCTGGCTTGCGAAGGACGAGTTCCCAATTTAACAATTGTATCGTGTCGCTGCATAGTTGGCGTACAACCCGTTGATGGCGGGACATGAGACAACGCAATCCAGGTTTGGACAACGGTGTATTCGGCAAGTCACTCTGCTAAATTCATGCCAGGAAACACGCAGAAGTTCGCATCTGCATGTTGGTTACTCTTTCGATGCAGAGGATTCACTTACCCAGAGTAAATATACTGGGTGTTGATAATCTGTTTTACCTCGAATAATCGACTGATTGGATGAGAGTTAACTGCAAGAGGGGAAATTAATCCGCAGGGCTGGTGGACAGACTTCCGTCAGAAAATTTATCTGGAAAAATGGATCAAACAATTGGTTGATCGAGTAAACTACCATTCTGCATAACAACCATTTGAAGGAGGGAACATCTAGAAACATTCCGGAAATATATCGCAGAAAGAGGAGACAGCCGTAAGCGTTGTAGAAACCGGGCCCTGAACTTCAAGGTACCAATTTGTCGCAATAACCACACACGATGTGGAACAATAAGCACTACGTACTACAAAATTAAACCTAATACACTACTCATAACGTTACTGATACCCCTCCGACCTTATGAGTAATGTGAGAACGATGTACCGCGGCACGTTGTACCAATATCATGCCAACTAAAACGTGAGGCGGTTTTTGTGTAGCTCGCTCGGCTGAAGAATGTCATTAACAAGAGATCCAGCTGAAATTTAAATTTGAGTCTCCAGTTACAGCCAGTGTGCAGACGTCAGTCTCTTAGCTAAAGCACCAAGAGGATTTGTCACGCCACACTGCTCAAGCTTCTTGAATGTATGGCGGACTTGCTCTCCGTTGCTTGTTCGGCGTGTTTCGGCGAGGTGACAATCCCCCTTCCCATCTCATAAAGTTCTTGAGGCTCAGGGTGAGCTTCCATCTGATTTTACGTCTATTTACTTCCCATAGGGTCTCTCATAGTTTGTTTTCGGGATGATCATAGTACAGTCCTTAGTAGTTGATGACCGTCACGCGCCTAGGGCGTTCACTTTGAAACGGTGGGTTTGCTTCTGTGGTTGTAGAACTTATAGAACTTGTAGAACTGCAAACAGACTGTCTTACCCATACTTTTAGATAATTGCCTCACGCCTACACATCGTACTGTGCTGCTGCAATCTTTTTAGAACTGCATCCAGATATCAGCCTTGCGGACGCATGAATTGATGTACTTGGTTAATTAATTAACTTGAAGTGTAGTAATAGTCTTGCTTTTGCGGACACTATTTACTTTTCGTCTGGGAGACTTTAGAGCAGATATCGATACAAAATGAACCAACGTGTCAAGGATGGATTTCACAAATCTGCGGTGTGATCGGTACCGCTACATGTATCGGAAACGTGACCATTGGGAGTGAACTTAAGGATTCTTGAGGCGACTCATCGATACCTTCGGATATCTGGTACGGGAATCTAGTCGGTGACACCGATGAACGTCTTCCTAGTTTTGGAGGAAGCGCTGGATGCACGATAACTGGGCTGGCCAGATACGATGAGAGTTGATTTTCCCCGAGTAAAATCTTGGGTACAAAATGCAGTAATGATCAGAAAATATTCACCCAATCGCCTTTCATTATCTGAAACCTCACTGCTTTCAGCTTTCCGTTGCATCGGATTCACACTTTTCTTAATGGTCAAGCTCACCCTTGTTGAAATAATTGTCAGCTGTAACCACTGTACAGCTTTTTCATGACTTATGGCTTGCAATACCACTAACTCTTGGCAAGTCAGTGTATCGTCTATGCTTCCTCACATCCCCACAAAATCGATGAATTTATCGGGTGTACGCTGACCGAAGTCCGCACATTTTAAGGCAGGTAACTATACTCCGTCTGATGTCAACCTAATATGTCGACTCTTGATCCATACATCCATAGGATTTCTAAAATCATACAGCTTTCCGCACAATACTTCACACACCCATTGATCCGTATCACCAAGAACGCAATTTCTAACCACAGACCCGTCGGTCGCGAGCACATACCTGTGTGCAAAAGTTATCTGTTCTTCTTGTGTACCAGTGGTTATCGCTCTGGCCAGTAAAATGATAGTAATATGTTATTACTTATATGGATGGGTGTGCTCCGGCATTTCAACCCATCAAGTTATTATCAACCGCACTGCGATCGTGCGGAGCGCTTAAAAAGCTCATATTCATTATATTTTGACAGTTTAAGGGCTACCTGACTCTACTTTCTGCAGTCAATGTCTATTATCTATGCCATTCTCTAGTAATACATAAACGAATTTGTGATAAAACCGCGTGCTATTTCTTGCATAACTAAGCTTACTTGCAAATTTGAGTCATTAACGTTAGCATGTACAGTAGACCCTGCTCCCAGGAGAAAAGGGCAAGGGCCTATAGTTTTAATTTTTTATTTGAGTAGATAGGCCGCCCGAAGTTGAGCGTGGTGTATCGGATAGTAGTAAAAATACGAAATAGAAAAACACAACTATTTAGAAAATCACTAGTAACTATTAGTCAGGATCCTGTATTAACAGGGCCATATGGGTCATCCAGTGTCTTTTTGAATGTTTCTCGCGGACCATAAATTTGAGTTGTCTGGGTGGGGTGCTTATGTTCAACAGGCTTAATTAGTCATTCTGAGTGCAATATACCGGTTGATTCTAAGCTGTAGATGCGCAACTTCTTACTATATTGAGACGCAGTAACAGTGAGGAAATTTAAAGCGAGATTATGTGGAACAGAAACGCGTACTATGTTCTGGGATCTGACAAAAATCAAACGCTTGTGTTGTCTACAGAAATTCTCTGGTAAATTCAGCATTATTGTGATATTGAAATCCTGCATCGACCGCTCAAGCGTGAATACGTTCACCTTTTAAGGGGTGAAAATTCGAATGTCCAGCGCTCGCTCGTGGATTCGTGGTGACACACTCGCCTCCATTGTCAGACGTTCGAACTCCGAAACCCGGCACGCCTAAGGCTATGCACTACTGATGAGTCCTCATTAAAGGTGACACTCGAGTTCAGTAATTCCCCCTTTGATGAGGACTTACGAGAATGGTCACGAAGGGACAGGAATACGATTTTCCGAACGAGAATGACCTGAATTTTGCGAATCCCGTAACCACCCAGAGCAGCGTTGATCGTCAGCTGAGCCACCGGCAATGGAACAGTGCGCCCGTTTTTCTTTGGTTATCTCAATGCACAGAAACATACCATATCAGTTCATGTGGGAATTACTTGTTCCCGTCAGGATATTTAGCTGTATGTTCCAGCACAGAATTCTTTCCCAAAGACAGCATTCTTCCAAACGAGATTCTCTCCTATGGGTAAACACCGTACATGTCGGAAAGCCGATGTGCGCCTTTGGGAATCAGCTACAGTACGCCAATCACGAATCTCCAAGGTGATCCGAACCCGCAACCTTCCGACCAGTGGTTGAAGAAGCAACTGAATGGCTGTGATTGACTCACAATTAGACGGAATATACCATTCTCACCTTTCAATCACGGGATCCACACCAGGTGCTTAACTGTTGACTGACTCCTTCAGTGAAGTAAAACACAGATAGATGATAGCGCGCAGTCTAAAATGAACAGAGTTCTATTGGCCTGTGAAGAAGATGAATAGTGACAACAACGGATTCAGTCAGGAGCTGTTGCGCCTAACTTTAAGTCAATATTTTCTGCAGTGTTTCATGGAAAAGATGTAATATTAAGAAACTATGAGCAGACGATACATGCAGCATGTACTTTGAATTCAAGTTTAAAAGTTTTTTAAGCCGCAGGTATTCTTAAAGTTGATTGTAAAAAGAGATAAACCATGTTAATTGGGTTTTAAATTGGAAAATGGAGCCTCACTAGCCTGAACAGATTGCCATACCATAAGTACGACCTTTGATGCATGTAATTGATAACGGATGAACGCTAATGGTCCCGTAATGATTTGGGTAGAGGTGCCTCGTATGTGGGAAAAAAATCAAACGTTTGTACTGAATGTTGAGCAAACGTGTGTGGTCTAAATTCGGTATCGTTGATTTTTACCATCCTGCGCAGATAGCAATGGAACTGGAGCCGACTGACGTAGCCGTGCGGCTGTTCTGATGGAACAACATTATCAATAGTATTTCGTTCAAACCAACTGAATATTTCATTATGAAGAAAGTGACAGCTGTTACAAATCGGTCAGCCTATCCCAGATTGATTGTTTTGTAAACCCTCTGGCTAAAGGGTTTTATAGCTTGGCTTTCGAATTTGCTGCAACATGAAAGACCTATTCAATCTATTCCAAGGACCATAATTATCACCACGGATTTACACTACTTGCGGTATCATGACGTAAGATTTGGTTTGAGAGTCATCTCTTCTTATGCTGTAGGATCTTTCTGTTCGTTGGAATATTAAAACCGTTTGGGATAGGTAGTGATATGTTTGCTGATGACCTATACCTGAGCACCACAGCTTATGTATATTGGCTTCAACGATTAAGTGACCAAAAAACTATCCGATCAGGCTACTAAGAGATTGGGCATTGGTCGTTCGATTGTTCGCTGATCTGGGCAATTAAACTGCGAACGTTTAATCACCAATCGCGATGGCATTATCAGTGCGTTGTTAGGGAGCGTGGTGGAGCGTATCAATGGGTCGGTGGTTGTGCATTGATTAATGTTGCGTGTATGTTAAAATACGTGCTGTTAGCCGGGGCTAACCTTCGGTCACGATTAGTTGTTCAGTCGGGCGGTTCCATTAGTTACTCTGTTATCCTGTGTCTTGTTTGATCGATGATCTTTGAGCGATCTTTGAGCTTGATCTCCCCTGCCCTCGTATTCTGGTCGACCCTGCGGGT